TTCATTCAAATTATATAAGGGTTATTTGAGCACCTACTATGTGCCAGGCACTATTCTAGGCTCGGAGTTTATTTCAGTACATAAAACAGAGCTTCTAATGTGGGCAAGGTGGAGACAGGCAGTAAACAATGGCTGTAATAAATACTTAAGTTAAGGGGCCGGAGCTCTGGTGTTATAGGTTAAGCTTCCACCTGCGGTGTCTATGGGCTCCATTTCCAATCCAGCTCTCTGCTTAAGGACTGGGAAAGAAGCAGAGATGGCCCAAGTCCTTGTGTACCTGCACCTGAGTGGGAGACCTTGAAGAAGTTCCTGGCTCCTGGCTTCCGATTGGCCCAGCTCCAGCTGTTGCAGCCATCTGGGGAGTGAACCAGTGGTTGGAAGATCTCTCTCTCTCTGTCTCTCCCTCTCTGTCTGTAATTCTGCCTTTCAAATAACTAAATAAAATCTTAAAAAAATACTTAAGTTAGTAGCTTGTTAGAATGTGCTGAGTGCTGTTTTAGAGTCTCTGGTAGAGGACATAACCCCAACCAGAGTTAACACTCCCACAGGGCATCCTGTGTCCTAAATTTTATCAGACACTTAACATCTACTCATTTAATCCTCACAGAAACTTGGGATGCGGTTACTCTTCCCACCTGCATTTTACACCGGAGGACGTTAGGCACAGAAAGACCGATTTGCCTAAGATGACACTACTGGTTAACAGCGGAGCTGGCAATGCCTACTAAAGACACGTCTACATTGACATAACCAGCCCCTCCTTGTAAGAGGTGTGAAGGAGGTGCCCGCTGTGGTCCCAGGCTCTCAATGTGCAGTGACAGCCAGGGGCAGCACTTGAATCTTCACACTGTGTGATTCTCCCTGGACAGGAACGGACTGAGGTGTGGGAAAAAACAGATGCTTTCTGATTTTCCTGCAGTGAACTCGGGATTGTTCTATCCCCAGAAGCCCTCCTTGATGATCCCCGTCTTCACACCGTCATCCACAAGGGTCGCAGAGTTGGCGGGAGGACACAAAATTCAGACCTGGTTAAATACATGGCAATGGCGCTGCTAAACAATTTGTTTGGCAAAGAGGCTGTAACTGCTCCAGCCAGTACAGTGAGGAGAAGCCCAGCCATTGGCTCCAAGCCTTCATGACGGTGGGCCTGGTGCTTCTCTAGAATTTCTTTCTATGTCAATAATTACAGCGTTGCCAAAGTGCACTTTAATTTTCATCAACCAAGATTCCAAGTTCCCATGTGTCCTAGAATGCAATGTGCCTTGCAGGGGTATCTCTGTTTTCAGGATTTTCCCAGTGGTAGAGAAATGGGCAGCAGCCAACTCCTTAAAGGAACTTGGTCAGACGAAGCTGTTCACCCTAGATAAGTTTTAGTTTGAACTAGGCATGTTCACCTGTGACTAGACCACAAATAGATTTTATTTTACAGTAAAACTTCTTCATGTGCACCTACCATGATCAACTGGAAGTACTAGATTTCCGCAGTTGGATGTCTTGAATGGTGCTAGTTGATATTCACTTCCATTTCCCTACAAGGCCCTCAATTTATTTGCTAGCTACAAGCCACTAGTTTCATTGAGCACAAACTATGCACCAATTGTAATATGTAAGCCTCTGTGATACCACCTTTAACCCTCATAGCAGTACTGAGCAGTAAGTACCACTATCCCTATTTTGTAGGTGATAAGAGCAGAGAGATCATGAGAGAAAATAACTTGTGTTAAAGTCTGATTCCGAAGCCGTCAAGCTCTAAAGCTCTTTGCTGCTCTACCTCTCAGCGTCAGCTGAGGACAGCAGAATTTCAGACTGGGAAGTGACCTGGGAGGTGAACTGACCCAATCCCACACTTTCTGCATGTCAAGTTGAGACACTTGTCTAAGGACCCAGCATTGGTTGGAAAGGCACATGGCCCCAGGTGAGAGAGAGAGAGAGAGAGGAAGGAGAGAAAGAGAGGAAATTCATGACTGTGTGCAACATATGTGCACTGACTGTATACTGAGGAAGCAGTCGATGAGTTCTGGAACTTTAAGTTATTTTAAGGTAAACAGGGTAAGTTCACAAATACAGAGACCAAGAAAAGAAAGTAACTAAAAATGCTGAGTACTTAGCTTTTGAAAGTTGGGCTACTGCTCTAGTTTGCTTAAAAAAAAAAAAAAGAATCATCTGATTTCTACATGGTTCCCACAAGAACCTAAATTACAAGGGGGTACAAAATCATCTTTTCAATGTTTACTGGAGCCTAAAAAGTTCCCCTTAAATTTTGATGAAAGCTAAATACAAGTGTCTTGACCACAGCCTTGCTTTTGGCTCCTGGGGGCTGACTTTCTGGAAACAAATCCCAGGGTGGCCTGGACAAGATGCTGAACTTTGCTGAAAGCTAGTTTCTTTGAGGGCTTCCAATTTTCCAGTACAGCTGTGGCTGCCTCCTCCTGGACTGTCCTTGAGTTGCCCAGTTCTGTGACTCACTCGACCCTCTAAAATCAAGGGGCCCATCCCGCAGCCCCTATCTCTGTCCCTTGCAAAATGATCCGTCCTCGACCTCAGGACCCTGCTCTAAACAATTTTACAAACTCTTTACCATCTTCATCACTAAGCTTTGCATTTCTACTTCTCAAAAACATTTGCTGGCTATTCTCCTTTGATGTATGAGACATAAGGGCTCACCCAGAATAAAACATCCCTTACTGTTAAAACTTGGGACCTTGGGGCCTGCGTTGTGGCATAGTGGGTAAAACCGCCACCTGTGATGCCAGCATCCCATATGGGCAGCAGTGTGTGTCTCAGTTGCTCCTCTTCCAATCCAGCTCCCTGTTAATGTGCTTGGGAAGGTAGCAGAGGATGACCCGAGTGCTTAGGCCCTTGTACCCACGTGGGAGAACTGGAGGAGGCTCCTGGCTCCTGGCTTTGGCGCGGCCTAGCCCTGGTCATGACAGCCATTTGGGGAGTGAACTGGGAGGATAGATAGATTCTCTTTCTCTCTCTCTCCTCTCTCTCTCTCTCTCTCTCCTTTTTTGTTTCTCCCACTCTGTGACTGTCTTTAAAAAAACAAAAAAAAACAAAAAAAAACTTGGGATCTTTAGAAGGGTAGCATGCTCACAGTTCTCTGACTCCAGACATATTAGACAAAATGTACTTTTGCATGAGTTGATTTTTGTTTGGAATGTCCTTTGTCCTGCCTTGCCTATCTGGTGCAATTCCTGCCCACACTCAACATGTTTCCAAATACAGTATCCTCCCAGAAAACCTCTTCTGACTTTTGAGAACTGTGCTGACACAAAAGTCCCCACCCCGGAAGCTCCTCTGCACCTGAACTGTTAGTAGGCCAAGCTAAGGTGTGCTAAAACACACACCAGATTGACTGGGCTTAGTATAGGCCACATCCCTTGTTATACTGATTCCAAGGTGAAATGACAGTATCTTGTATAGATAGCAGATAGAGGAAAATATGCCATCAGAATCAATTTCATTTGTTTCTTTTTACTTCTAGAACATTCAAAATTACATTTATGGTTCATGTTTTTGGCCTGTGTTAGGTTTTTACGAGGTAGTGCCAGTGGGAGCCAGAGAGTAGGGCTGACTTGTATCACTGTGATGTCTGTGAGGTGGCACCTTGGGGTGAGTAATGCTTCTGTTGTATATCAGTGAGATAGTCAAGGCAATCAGTGAGACACAGGTGTATTGAAGCTCTGACTTTTCACCCAGACAGCATTAATCTGTGATCAAGTTTGTTGAAATGCCTTTCTCCTCCCTACCTAGCCCTAACCCTGGGGACAAAGGCAAAACAGAGTGATGGTACCTGGAGAGGCCTTCGTTGAGTTGATAGGCTGAGCAGACAGAGTGGAATATGCTCCATATATGCATAAATAATTTGGCGGGGGTGGGGGTGGGGAGAAAGGAGAAGGAGAGGAAGAAAGGAAGCTAACATGAGGGGTTCAAAAAGTTCATGGAGAATGCTTATTATGAAAAAGACTATGCCTGGATTTCAATTATTTTTGCACTGAAGCACACTTATCTTTTAAGTCCAAGTTTCCACTAGCTTCTTAAAGTATTCTCATATTAGCTGCCACACACATTGCTAAGCATGTTAATGTGACCAGAATTTCCTGAAGTGTGTTTGGTAGAACGTGAGCTCTGAGGGACTTTCCTAAATGCTGTGTTGGAAAAGGGGGAGGGCCAGGAGCTCCATAAGCAAACCGGGTTGGCAAATGCTGGACTAAACAGTCAGAGTTAACTTGTCTCCTATGTTGTAGGACTTTTCAGAGCCTTTAATACACGATGAAACACTGTGAGAGCTGAAGCAGGAGACATTAAATGTACGGTTGCCTACGGAATTCTCTTTTTAGAAACATCTGTCCATATCATTGGCAGATAAAATTTGTGATGGCTAATGTCATTTAATTGGCATTCTACAGGGAAGTCACTGTGGCTTAGGAACTTACATGATTTGTGCAACATTTAGACGTTATACAACTGGTTCATGGCTGAACCACAATTCCAAATTCCTGTTTATATCAAAGGAAGGAATTAAACATGGTCAGAATGTACAAATATCATCATGGAGAATTCACGGATCATAGAGACATTTAAAGTGGTTGAGTCCCTTCTCCCTACACATCCCAAGCCCCCTTCCCTCAGGTCAGCCTTCACTTCTTTGATCTCCTTGGATGAAAGAGGTCTTTCTGGGATTTTCCAGTATTCCTCATTTGGATCTTGGCACCTATTGCTTTATTGTAACTTTTTGCATGTACACGTCTTATCTCTAAAAAGAGGCTTACTGAGGTATTTGAATTCTCAACTGTGTCTTGAATATAGCAGGGGCTCAACGGAACTTTCTCAGTTCATTTATTACCAGCCAGTCTGGCTTAGCTATTGATATTTTGTGGTGTCCTTTTACAACATCTGAACATGACAGAAACACTGGATCTTGCTTCAGAGACATCACGTGTTCACATAAGCTGCCAAGCCCGTATCAAATAGCCTGATGCTGAACACTGACGTACCTGTAAGATGCAGCTCATGATGTCAGACGCGATTTTTGCATGAGGAGTGTCTTCGTCTTTCCAGGGGGGCCTCAGGTTGTGTTCCAAGCAGGAGTCCCAGAGTCCCACAAGGGCCTTGGCGTGCTTTTCAATGGACTCTGTCTCTCTGATGGCAGTCGTGATTCTTGTTATACAGATTTCAACCACTGCCTGGTCATTGTTATTGGTTTGGTAATCCTATTTGGAAAGAGAGCCTTCATATTAAAGAATTGTCCGGAAAATTCTCCTTGAAAGGACAAAATACTAAGTCACCTGTTTAGAAAATGGGCGTGCTGAGGGGTAAGGTTGTGAAGCCCAATTAGCATATTCTTGGGCACAGATACAGGAATTTGCTGAAATGGAGCAGGTTCCTGCTATCACCCATAGAGGGAGATAGTGAGCGTCCAAGGAAGCTTAATAACTTGCTTGCAGGTGGGTTTAATCTTCAAGCTGTCTCAGATTCTGAGTCCATTACAGGGCAGGGCTTACCTTTTACTCTTCCATTTCAGTAACTGGTGAAATGTTTTAAATAGCCTCCCAATTTTCCCGCAGTAGCTTTCTCTGTCTTTCTGGACACAATTGAACACATCATTTCCTCTCTCCCTTTTCAATCCAAATAACTCCCCAACCCAGTTTAACCTTCCCCAACCACGTTGTGCACTCATGTGGGAGCCCTGGAAGAAGCTCTGGGCTCCTGTCACTGTGGCCATTTTGGGGCTGAGCCAGCAGATGAAAGATTTCTTTCTGTCTCTCTCTGTCTCTGTAACTCTGCTTTTCAAATAAAGGAATAAATCTTTTTTTTTTTTTTTAAAGAGAGCTGATTCAAGTGATAAATTTTCAGATTGCGATCTTGGGTTTTCTAGAAAGATTTCATACTTTCTTATATCTATACCTTTTATAAATTTCATATATATTATGTTGGCTAGAATTTCCTAAGCTATTTCACATAAAAGTTATCAGAAAAAGAATGCTAATTTAGTTTCTGAGTTTTCATATAAAATGTTCTGATCTTTGTCTAGGCCAAGACAAAACCAGGAGCTAGGAGCTTCTTCTGGGTCTCCCATGTGAGTGGCAGGGGCCCAAGTATTTGGGCCATCTTTCACTGCTTTTCCCAGGCTATTAGCAGGGAGCTGGATGGGAAGTGGAGTAGCCAGGACTTGAATCAATGATAAGGAATGCCAGCATTGTAGGTGGTGGTTTTACCCACTATGAGCATTGATTTTCTATCTCAAAGCATCATTTCCTAGCCTTTATCTGGCAGTCGGCATAGTGGACAAAGAAAAAAAATTACCTTATGTATTAACTTTGAATATGTGACTTTTTTGTAAATATCAAAATGACACGCTTTCATTTGAATAACTATTGACATTTATTTTTACAATCAAATAAATAATTGTTTAACTTTTCATCATTAACATTTGCAAATTATTTTATGGAATATATATTTCATTTTCTGGATTTTGCCTTAGAATCCAATCTAAAAACCTTTTTCCTTTAGCAGTTAAGTTTTGCTCAATTGCATGAAGTGTTATGATAGTTATATTGGTGTTGAATATGTCTTATTATTTTATGTTATGTTTTGGCTTTTTCTTAGCTTTTGAAGTTCAATTATATTACTAGGTAATGGTGCATCTTAGACTAGACACTAACAAGGGCAGGTGGCATAGATAAGCTGTGTAAGCTGGTGGCTCAGGCCCCTGTGTTATCTACCACTACAGAAATGATACCTTACACCTAGGGCACACTTACTCCTTTAGGACAGAAGAGGGACAAATCCTGATGTGGGTGCTGGCATGTGGATGCCACTAGAAATTTGCCTGCTGTGATAGTACATATTTGCTCAGGGATGAAAGTAAGAAATTAGGAAAAAAAATCTCCCAATAGGCAGAACGTCAGTCCATGCACTTGCTCGTTAACTTTGAGGGGAACAAGAAATCTATAGGTAGCAGCTCGGAATCATGTGCAGTGGCAGATGGCTTGGCTGAATGGCCAAGTGACTAAAAGGAGAAAGACTGAGAGACTGGAGATGAGCAATCGTGGGTGAGAAGCATGGTGTGAATACTTGGGGTGGGGGGGAGCACAAAATCTAAACATCATTTTCACTCCATATTAATGCCCTAGAGAACATTCACCCCCGAAGAGACACTAAAAACCAAGTAGAGAAAATGATTCAGCCAAATGCCATTAGCCAACATGAGTGTCATCTGCCACTCTAATGTGATCCAGTGGGTACACAAATGAAGAAATGATGATGAGGGATAGAAGTTATGCATCCCCCAACACTCCCTAGGTGTGCAGCCTGCCAGCAAAAGAGGCCAAGGCTGAACCTCACAGTGACACCATCCTTACAGGAACCCAGTTAATCACGTGGGTGCCAAGTTATCGTATTAGGCGTTTTCTACCCCAGGAAACTTTGGTTATACTGAATGGAATAGACATGTGATGCAGAGTTGGGTTTATTTTTCTTACCCAGAGGGTGTAAGACTTAACCTCTATCTAAAGGTTCACAGAATATTTGTTGTGCTCACACAGGGCCCGACAACATTACATCAGGCCAAACAACCACTATGAAGCAAAGGATATTAGGAGTGGGCACATGATCTAGGATTCACCAGTCCTACCACATAACTCAACCCTTCCTCCTTCCACCCCAGAACAGCTGAACTCTGAGTAGGCTCTCAAAGTGGTCACTCAACATTAATATCCTGCATGGATGGGGCACATCCTCCAAGAGACCGTTTATCCACTAAAACAATGACCATCAAATGGTGTTATATTCCCAGTCACTTCAATCTCTGTGTGTCGAAGAGATGAGCAGATAAAGAAAGAAGCCATCATCCAGACAGGAGTAATTGACTAGAGATGGTGAGTTCTTTTTTTTTTTAAGATTTATTTATTTGAAAGTCAGAGTTACACAGAGAAAGGAGAAGCAGAGAGAGAGAGGTCTTCCATCTGATGGTTCACTCCCCAACTGGCCACAGCGGCTGGAGCTGTGCCGATCTGAAGCCAAGAACCAGGAGCTTCTTCTGGGTCTCCCACGTGAGTGCAGGGGCCCAAGGACTTGGGTCATCTTCTACTGCTTTCCCAGGCCATAGCAGAGAGCTGGATTGGAACAGGAGCACCTGGGACTAGAACCAGCACCCGTATGGGATGCCGGCGCTTTCAGGTCAGGGTGTTAATCCGCTGCGCCACAGTGCCGGCCTAGACGATGAGTTCTGATTGCAGCCTTGATGGCAATGAGAGTGTAAGAGCCTCACACTAACATTCTTGTGAATTTCTTCAGCAGGTTAAGCTATGCTACAGTGCCTGCAAAGGCAGCATCCCATATGGACACTGGTTTGAGTTCTGGCTGCTCCATGTCTGATCCAGCTCCCTGCTAATGCGCCTCGGAAAGCAGCAGAAGATGGCCCAAGTCCTTGCGCTCCTGCACCCATGTGGGAGACCCAGAAGAAAATTCTGGCTTCTGGCTATGGACTGGCCCACATCTGGCCACTGTGGCCATTTGGGGAGTAAACCAGCAGATGGAAGCTCCCGCTTTCTTCTCTTTCTTTGTCTACCCCTCTGTCTTTCTCTCTGCCTTTCAAATAAATAAACACATCTTAAAAAAAAAAAAACTTCCTCAGATGACTCCACATCTCAGCAAAGCTGTTTCCATATGGGATACTCTTATTACACAAAGCAAATCGTTTTGAATGGTGCCAGGGGTGGATGGTTGTGCATACTATGATACGCTGTCCACATCCCCTCCTCTAGGACAGAGATGTTCATTTTCTCAGTTGTTTGTTCATAGCTGAGCCTGCCTGCAAATCTTTGGTCAAAGGGAATGGCCTTAGGGCCAGTGCTGGGGTGTAGCATGGTAAGCAGTGCCTGTGAGGCCGGCATCCAGTGTGGGTACCAGTTCAAGTCCCAGCTGCTCCACTTCCAATTCAACTCCATGCTGATGGCCTGGAAAAGCAGCAGAGGATGGCCCAAGTGCTTGGGACCCTGCACGCATGTGTGAGACCTGGAAGAAGCTCCTGGCTCCTGGCTTCAGCCTGGCCTAGCTCTGGCCATTGTGGCCATCTAGGGAGTGAAGCAGCAGAATAAAGATCTTTCTCTCTCTCTTTCTGTAACTCTACCTTTCAAAAAAAATGATTCTTTTTTAAAAGGGTGGGAGGGGAGGGCCTTGCTCAATGTTTTTTTCCCTGTCTTGGTTCAGCCTGCAACCAAGGACCAACACTCGAGGGGACAGGAAGGCCTGTTCACCTGCCTCAGTTCACTCTGCAGCACCTTCCCAGCTCCACAGATCCCTGTGAGATTGGTTGGGGTCCTTTTTACAACTGCATCACAGTTCATCTTCTCCCTCTTCCCAGTTTTACTTCATCCACCCCAAACATGTGTTGTTTCTGAGAACACACCCAGACAAGTTTCCTATGTGCTTGTCACCACTTCAGAGTTTGTTTTCCTGAGACTCCAATGATGACAGGGCTTATATAGATGAAGTGAAGAAACATAATGAACCAACTCCTATTTTGCACCAAAATAAACTTATCTTGTGACTCTATTTTCCCACAAAAATTTTTTTGAAGTAGCTACATATGTGTCTTGGTTCATGGACACCAAGACTCAATTTCCAAGCTAAGAACTCACTGAATTATCAGGGATCTTTAAAATCATTGAGATTGATGAACATAAGGCATATAGTCTAAGATCTCCAACTTCAAAATTAGGCAGCTGTCCATGAAGACATCACTTCATACTGGTCAAAACTATAGCCAATGTACTAATAGATTAGGTATAGGTTCATCAGTTATGAACTTTTTTGATATTATTATGAGCTAGAATTTCTTACTCCATAGCACTTTACTGAAAAGTAAACAGATGTTTCAACTTGAAAGATGTTGTATTTTCAAATCCTGTATCTGACATGAAGAAAAGCTAAGAAAAAATCTATAAAGGAGATTTTCCCAAAAAGGGAGAAAATATTGAATAAGCAGTTAACTACTTCCTTCAACAAATACTAAAAAAAATTAAACCATTTTAATGATATACTTGAATCATTTATAGCTTGTAGGTGAGGATTCATCTTTGAAATTAGGGTTTTTTGTGTTCTCATAACAGAAAACGTTCCAGTCTGTGTCCCCCCCACCTTTTTTTCTAGTGTCTTCAGAATCCATAGTAGGATATCAATGATGAATTAAATTTTCACATCAGAATCT